AGGTCACTTTCTCCTTCCCCATCACAACTACCTTTTGCCTTTCTCAGTGCTTGTGAAGAAAATTACCATCAGCTCCTCCTGTGTTGTCAGTCCCCGTCCTAAGCATCACCCCTGGTCAAAGGTTAATGTGTCCCCTACCCCATATCCTCCTTGAAGGAGACAGCCCAGCCACCATGGGTTATGTGCTCCTTTCCACATCTTCACCTCAATAAACTTGTTTGTTTTGTATTTTTACTTTTCTATTGCACCCGAATAATCCAACACACTCTGTAAGAAATTGTCATAAATGAATAATTAAAATAACAATTGTTCTGAAGGAAAGGAAATGTTATCACCCAGCTCTTAGTTTGGAGTTAGGAGGCAGCCAGCTTTATCCTGCTTTACTCTGGCTCAATAGTTGGTTTTTGAAATGTGAACTCTTTCTCTCCACTAGGTTTTTATTTTTTGATGTTGAAGTTGCCCAAAGCGATTCAAATCATGATACATGCCCCAGGAGCCTTCTCCAGCCACTATGGAATGACATGGCCCTTTTGCCCTAACCCCTGCAGCTCAGTTAATAAAAAGACCCTTTCTTCTTCCTCCCAAGGGGCTTCCCAGAATGGCCGGGGCATTGGGATTCCTCTTGGGCACCAGGTCAACCCTCACCAGCTGAGCACAGGGCCCAAGCTTCTTGGCTGGGGCAGCTGGGGAGGGATCACTTGGTGTTTCTATGTTGTAGGTCTCTGTCAGTGAGGGGCAGGGCTGAGCCCAGGGAATCTTCTGAATGCTGGGTATGCAAATACGGGGCTGGGTCTCTCTCTTTCTGGTCTTTGCCAAGCCATGGTGTCCCCTCCTTTACTCAGAAACAGGAGCCTCTGCAGTGACTGGAGGGAAGGCAGGGCCTGTGCTTACTGCCTGGGCTCCTGTGGGAACGGAGAGTGGCAGCTGCACAGCCAGCGAAGACCCCACCAGCCTAGCAGGAGGACACTGAGTCAGACTGTCCCAGTCCTTTTAGGGACGGGGGCAGAGAGCAGCTGGCTGAGCTGCACAGACAGCTTCAGCCAACATGGGGAAAGTGAGGGGCAGGTGATTCCTTTCCCTTGGACTCTGAGTGGACACAGGGGTGAGGAAGGAAGGAAAGGAAAGCAAGCCCCTGCTGTGCTGGGCACAGCCTGCTCCCAGGGTGCACCATCCAGGTGTTTGTGGAGAGGTCTCCTGAGGTTGGGAAATGCAGATGCTTTGCAATGGGGATTTCACTGAGTCTCACAGCAACCCTGGGTGTCAGATATCAGTGTTCCTGCGTCACAGGTGAGAACCAGGAGCCATAGAGTTTATGAGCTGGGGTTTGACTCTAGTCCCAGGAGTAACTGAGCAGTTGTGTTGGGAGCAAGGACTCTGGGGGTAGAGTCAGAGCACAAGGGACATTCAGGCATCTGACTGGGAGAGAGGGGCTGCATTCACACGTGGTGTCCTGAGCAAGCACCAAGAGTCATGTTTAAGAACAGGCATGGGATCAGCAGTGCCGTTCCTGACCGGTTCCTGGCAGAGTGCTCAGCCCTCAGAGGCTAGAGGTAACTTCCCCAATCAGTGGCCTGCTTTCTTCTGATTCCTCACCCTTCAGCGCACCAAAGCCTCTGCAAACTGTCTCATGCTGTGAAAAATCTGTACTTCAAGGCTAACACCATATGTGGAATACCTAGATTTAATCTAAAATTTGCATCTGCTAAGAATCACTTTTCCACACAGAGTGCATTGTCTCTTGAGCAGAAGGTAAAGCAGCACCTTAGGAGGCTGGAGCCACACCTGATGCTCTGGAAGCTTTGGGGCAGAGATCTGTCACTACTTCTTGCATTTCTTTATGCAACAGCCCTGAAAGCTTGGGTTGCATCCTTAGCGTTTGTAAACCACAGACCCAGGGCCTGGATACAAAGGATTGAAATGTGTGGGTCCCTCTTAAACCAAGCTCATACAGTGCAGTGGTTACTATATACCTATGTATCATGTGTAAGAGTACATTTCTATGTTTGGATGCATCTGTGTAAGTCATTAACTACAGGATTACTGCCTTTGAGGAATTTAAAGTTAAATTGCAAAAACTTGTAAAAAATTAGGATATAGTGACAAAATAGTTTATTGAAGACAGTACAGGAGACAATTTGAGTGACCCCTGCGGTACTCAGGACAAAACCGAGTGCAGGGCAGTGACAGCTGAATGACAGAGGGGAGCAGGGGGCAGCTGCTCCTGAAGACACACTGAAGCTCTCCCAACCCGGCTCAGCCGCAAATTGCACTGTCTCAGCCTAAGTCCCTGTGAGTAGTTATGTGATGTGGTCTCCATGGTTCTTTAAATAGTGTCTAAGATACAATGAAAAATTAGAGAACATTTTAAGGAACCTATTCGCTCTACACTCAGGAAGAATGTCTTTCTTTTTTATGAGACAATACAGTGAAATTGGTACAAAACTCCACAGCAGGATACTGGGATAACAGTAATAGGTACCATAGCACCTTCACAATAGTTGTCCATTCAATCAGATATAGTAAAATCAAACCAAAATCAAGAACACTATAAAACCAACCAAAACATAATACTGAATAGAATGAAGCAATCCGAACAAAGCAAAACAGTGAAAACAATATTTACCATCAAAGAGATGGCAGAAGGAAATCTCTCATTTTGCTATATTGCATAGGGTCATCCTCCCATGAGATGCTCAACCTCTGGCTCTCAGCTGCTAAAGGTGGGGAGGAGAGCTGGACATATGATTCTCAGTCCATGCACTGGTAGGCTCACGGAAGAGGCTGACTGGTTCTCTTCCTGGCTCGCCTGCCACTTACTCCAGGCATGACTGCCTACCAGGAAGGGGAGGGTTGCTTTCTTGCTCAGAGCCCTAAGTTCCAACATGGCTGGATCTCAGGAGATGCTGACTGCCATGAAGAAGAATTTCCCTGAAGCAAAACTGTAGCTTTTGTACAGGTACAATGAGATAGCAAGAACTTTAAAATGATAATTTAATAACTTTAATGGATTCAGACAAGTGGAGATAAATAAAATTCAAGAATAGAGAGTAAATTTGTATAAAGCTATATAAATGTCAAACATTTTCAAACTGAAATCTACTGTATTGTAAATAAAATTTATCTCAGACACATTAGCACGCACTGGACACAGTAGAAGGAAAGACTGGTGAATTTGGAAATGGAACAAAAGAAATCATCTGATCAAAAACAGAAGAGACATTTATAACCAATGATGAGATCATCTGAGCCCTGTAAGAAACCTGTGATGAGAGACTCAGACAGACATAAGTTACAGCAGAAGAAATGTTGCAAGGGTAAGAGAGTTAGGAATATTCTGAAAATTATCAAGCAGCTTATCCACAAGATTCAAGCATTTTAATAATCTTTAATCACTGCAAGTAAAATAAAAGGGAGTCTTGTGGCACCATAATCAAAGTATAAAAGATAAAATCTTTAAGGCTACCAACAAAAAATACCTAATCTAATAAAAGAAATAAAATTAGAATGATGGGTTACAGCTCATGAAATATAAGCAAGTCACAGGGACAGTGGAATAATAACTTTCCAAAGTGAAAGAAACAAAATGAACTTTCAGTTTTTTCACCACAAAACCAGAGCAGTTTTTCCTGCAGACCTGGTCCACAAGAAATGCTAAGAGGATTTGCAGGCTGGAAGAGAAATCATAAAACATCACTTGTGGTCAGTATGCAAAAATGCAAACCTGAAGATAATTAAAAATTATATTTGCATTGGGTAGAAACCACTGACGAATGTAAAAATTACACCAAAATTTTTGGGATTATTTCTCATGTAGTAATGAAATATGCAAAGGCAGGAGCACAAGAAGAGTTTGGTTACAATCATGCACCAGGCAGGCAGGGATCCTGCCGTCACTGAACTGTACACCAAGGCACCACAGGTGTTCTCAGTTGTCCCCAATGGCTAGAGAAGCCTTGGAATTTCCTTCCTACCCATCTCCCCATGCAGCTTCCCAGCCTGGATGCCAGGAGGGAGCTGGGACACAGACATCTTCAAGACTGGGCTCCAGTCTCATCACACATCCTGTCAGTTGGAGAACAGTCAGGGAGAAGGTGGAGGGGAACCTCATCCAGCGCATTGCTGGGCTGACAGGTGGGCAGAAAGGCCAAGCAACACTGCACTTTTTAATGTCCCTTTGAAACATTGCCTCATCACCTAGTAGGAGACTGCACCTAAGGACCCCTCTTCCTAACTGAAGAGAAGAAAGGGCTGCTGCCTTGCTGCCCAAGTGAAGGGGAGGTCGGGTCCAACTACGAAGGTGCAGCCACCTTAAAATGAAGGCTGGATTTGACCCAGAGGAAGATTACAAGTGAGGTCATCAGCGAAGCTGAAATCTCAGGTTTCCCAATACATGGACCAAAATCTGAGATGGTGGAATGTCAGTGAATGTGAAGAGTGCCCTGCAATTCTCTTAAATCAATAAAGAAAATTTGTGGAATTTCTTAAAAATACTCAGAACAGAGAACACCAAGTTCAAAGTCAAAGATACTTATTCCAGAAAAAACAAAAACAAAAACAAAAACAAAAAACAAAACTAATGAATGTAAAAGAATCTTACTGGAGCTCAAATAAAACCACGTGCAAAGAACTAAAATTATTTTAGAGTCAATGATAGAGCTGAAACTCCTGTTTAAAAACAATGTTGACAATTTAGATTTCAAAAAGGACAGAATATATCCAAGGCATTGCAAAGTAAAATGTAAAAGTTATCTTTTTTCCTTTAGAGACAAGTTGCTTCCTCAGGCTAGGGCATGCATAGCTTCCTCCCATATCCTGAGTTCAGATAAACAAATAAAATATGCAGATACTAGCATCAGAAAGCCAGGGGCCCAGTTTCCTTTGCACAAAAGCAAGAGGACAAAGAACAGAGGAGGGCTAACCCTGCGGAATCTGGTGTGGAGACCTGCATTACCCTCCTGCATTTCCCTCCTCTCTGCTCCTCACTGTGAAAGAGGCTGGCCAGCTCCACGCTGAGAAGATGATGCCACAGAGGCAGCTTTGGGCAAATCTTTCCCTTTTTCTCCAAACTCATGGCCTCCTCTAATTTCATCAACCTTAAGCAGAGAAACCTAAGCCTATGGACCTAAGAGTGTAGTAAGTTTGGGGAGCATGAAGGGACACAGGTCCCGCCTTTTGAGAGGCATGCATGCTGGGAACAGGGATGTAGTGCTGGCAGCTATTGCTGGGCTACTTTCCTAATTAATTAATTAATTAGTTATTGGTACTGGGAATGAAGTCGGGCCTTGGGCTTTCCAGGCAGACTGTGTGGTGCTGAGCTACATCTCTGGCCCAGGGTTACTTTCTTTTTTCCGGACAGTGGACCAAACTCACAGCCTCATGCTTGCCAGGCAGGTGCTCATGTCCCTGAGCTGTATCCCTGGACACCATGGGTCACTGTTTTTGTTTTGTTATTTTGTTAGCAAGGCCTGAACTCAAGACCGTTTTTAACTAGGAATGACTTTTTTAACTAGGAATTTTCCTCCTTTCCTATTCATGGCATAGGCAGCCTAAAAAGATTCCCCCTTTTGCTGTGAAAAGGAAAAAGGCTGCTGGGGAGCTGGGGAGGGGGAGATCTGTGCCTGTTTTCCTGCTGGGAAGTTCTCCCCAGAATCCACTGGCCCCACGGCTTGGATTTACTCCAAGGTCATTCCTGCAGCAAGGTAAGGACCTTCACTGTTGGGGGGATTGTGGGATGTAATACATTTTGAGACATCAGGTGGTCATCAGGGCCATTTGTGTGAGGAGGGTGCCATTCTTGGTGGTCCCTTGGAACTGTTGCTGTCATTTGGGGACACTAATTGGCTTGAGAAGAGATTCAGAGGTTAAAATTATTTGTCCAGCAGTTATTTTGGATTGCAGTACTCATTTGTGTGGCTTTGCTCTGGTATGCTTTTATTTGCTTTTGTTTCTTTTCTCTTTCTCTTCCGGTAACCACCTTTAGCCTAGAATGGGCAGCAGGCTTTGGTGCCCATTAGAATTCTGTAAGCCACTTGGGCTCAGTTCTTTTAGGGCTTCCTTGTGAGTGTGTGAATCAGCAGTAAAATATGTCCATGAAGCAGATTGTGTATAAGGACTGTGAGTGGAGCCCGGCAGGACTGGAGGGGGTGCAGCCCTGAAGCTACAGGATGTGGCCCCTTTCCTGCTCTGTCCCAAAGCTGTGGGCTCAGGGAGGACATGCACTTTCCATAAATGTGGTTAGGAATCCCCAAGGAAAGCCCCTGTTCTCACTGAGAATAAAACACACAACACTCCCAAAAGTAAAGGTGACTATCAGCCCTCCCCTCACATGTCATTTTCATCAGAGATCAGTCCCAATATTGATTGGGGAGCTACAGTGAAGCAATATAGAGCTCAATGTTCTTTTATCACTTGGAGGTGAACAAACTTAGATGGAAAGATTTCAGGAACACAGAGCACTGAAGGTGCCTGTCAGGAGCTCTGTCACAAAGTGCTCAGAACTAAAAGTGCCATGTTGCATCTCTCTAAATATTTGTAGTTACCCATGACGTGAAGAAGGTCATTTGGTTGTGATACATTGTAGCATGTTAGCAGAAGGCACCCTCTGATTTCATGGAACTGCCCTCAAAACGGTTCTCTGAGCCTGGGGGTTTAGTGCAACAGTATAGCTGCCTGCTTGGCAAAAAAGAAGTTGTGAGTACAAAAAAAAGATTCTCGGAAATCACTTTGTCCAACATGATATCCACACCAGCTTTCTTTGCATTTGTCTGTGTTAGGATGGTGGCAAGCAAGAGCAGTGGGGCTCCTGAACCCCGAGGCTCTTTGACTAATGTCAGGCAGTTTCCTGGGACTTCACTCCACCTGGTTTCTGTAACAGTCCTTGACTCAATGTAAAGCAACTGTGCTTGAAAACATTTGTAAAACATGTTCCCTAAAACTTGGTTTTTGTATGCTGCTTCCTCCTTTCCTTAACCACCACAGCAAACACCTGTGAGTACGCAAGTTTTCCTTTTGCATTTTTCCTGGTGGGCAGCATTGTTCCTAATCAGGCATCTTTTCCCATATTACAGCGAGTTAGCAACAGAGCTGATGTGAGACATAAATTTCTGACCAGGTGTATCTAATTTAGTGCAAAAAATAATGTATTAAAACCTAGGGCAGGGGCTGGGGATGTAGCTCAGCGGCATAAGCGCCTGCCTTGCAAGCAGGCAGTGGTGAGTTCGATCCCTGGTACCGATAGAAAGGAAAAAGACCAAAAAACAAAACAAAACAAAAAACCCCCAAAACACCTAGGGCAAGAACTTTGAAATTGACTAAGAACTATCTTAGTTATGGCGTTATCTTAACATGGTATGAAAGTCACCGGTTTTGTTGAATTGTTACTTTGCATGTTTGTATGGTCATACATTGTCAAGAGCCATGTTTCTCTGGGCTAATAAGAAACACTCTGCTCAAAAATTTATACTCTTAGATTGTAAAATAAACATTGTTTTCACCTTATATTCAAGATTGGTTAGATTCTGCTGAGTATCTAAAATATTACAGTGGTGTCAGTAAATTATAATCTTAGTAAATTGTGTGCTTTATTCTAAGTGGGAATTCACAGTAGTTTAAAAATCATCTTAATTACATTTCTAGAAGAACTAAAGCTTGCTTCACAATAATATTGGCTTTCTTTCATTAACCTGGTCCTGTGTTTCTTAGTTCAAGTCTATGGCATAGAATAAATTTGCATTATGGTTTTCCACTGGTTTTATGTCTGTTTATGGCATAAAACAGAGATTAAAATCTGTAATGGCCATTGCAACCATTGCTTGTCAAGATTCTAACAACTTAAGATGTTAACTACTAAATAGAAAAGATTATACATGACAGCAGACTATAAGAATCACTCTTTCTAAATCTGATATTGTTCAAATTTAACACAACTAGAGCTGTGACTATGTGTCACAGCCACTGCAATGCAGCATGTACTCTAATTAATCATACGTATGAAAGTTTCCTGGCCACCATGCTGCATAGCTATCTATGATTGACAGTGTCTTAAAAATACATTCAGAGATAAGGGGGACAATTAGCAAGAATCAAAGAGTTACCTGTATGCCAGACCTACCAAAGTAAGGAGAGCTGCTGAGGTTTTGAAGGGTAACCCTGATGCAGGACTGATTAAAAGCCCCAGGCTCTGCTAACTTGTAAGTTAGTGTGGTTAAAAATCTCCGGAGCTTGGCTTTCATTGATAATTCACATCATGAAGTTTAGTTAATTGGGGGCGGTTCAAGCGCTGACTTCCCTTGTCTTGTGCTCCAGGTGGCTTTAAAGGACTCAAAGCAGAGGCCCCGCTCTGGACAGCAGGCAGGTGGTGTGACACCTGAGGCCTCAGGACACAGGCTGAAATCAGAAAGGGAACTGTAAGTGGCACCGGAAATTAAAATTTTAAATGTTTCACTTTGTTTCCTTTAGTGAGAAGTGGCTTCCTGAGGCTTAGGGCATAAACAGCTCCCCAACATCTCCTCAGTTCAGATGATTAAAAAATATGCAGATACTGACATCAAAGTGGCTGGAGCTCAGTTTCCTTTCTAGAAAAACTGGACAATGAGCTGAAGATGGCTGACAGCGATCCACTGCGTGAGGAGATTTGAATGTCTCTGCCTGCTCCTCTACTCTCTATTCCTTACTGTAAAACCCTTGCCCACCTCTACACAGTGCATCATGATTTCATGCAAACAGTTTCCTCAGCCTCAGAGCTAGCTTTGAATGAAGGCTTTTTCCTTTTTATCTATATACATGGCCCACTTTAATTTGAGGCTAGTTAAATTTAATTTAATTTGGGGCTGCTGACAAGTAGGCCATGGGTCAGTAGGTACTGGGATGACGAAGGACTCAGCCACCCACTACCTGCTGAGCAGCTTGGGGTATAAATGGTGAAGAATCTGTCCATCATCACTGTTTCAAAGGCAAACAGACTGAAATTTCACAGGTATCTTGAAGAGAGAATCACCTTGACCATGAATGTTTAAAAGAAAAATGAAAATCAAAATGGATTGGAATAATAGCTAAATTTGAAGAGTTTATTAAAAATTTTATAGAATTCTTCATCCAGTTTCCAGATTTCCCTGTTTATGTTAAGATACCATAAAATTGACATACTATGCAAATAGCAGAATTATTTCATTTATTGCAGTAGGATCAATTGCTTTGAAGTGATGCACATGATGAAAATCATCTGTGATCCCAGTATCTGGAAGGCTGAAGCAGGAGGATCCTAAGTATGAACCCTGCCTCAGTGATTCAGCAAGGTCAAAAAAACCCTCTGCCTCCTGGGGATTTAGCTCAGTGACACAAACACTTGCCTGGCAAGTGTGAGGTCATGAGTCATGGGTACATTTCCTATTACAAAAAAAAAAAAAGAAAAAAAAAAGAAAAAAACCCTCAAAATTTCCCTCTGTCTCCTCTCTCTGTCACTAGCATTGGAACGAAGGGCCTTTACATTCAGCTACATCTTCAGTTGTTTTCTACTTTTGTTTCTAATTTTGAGATTTCATCTTCCTAAATTTCCCAGGCGGGGATCATACGTCCAATCCTCCTGCTGCAGATTTCCAGATCCTGGGATTGTAGGTGTTTTCCATCACATGCATTTTTTCAAAGAAGTTCACTTGACTTCAGTCAGTGAAATAATTCTGCTGCTTAAATAAGAAACCTAAGCACACCTGTAGGACACAGAATAGAAGTTCATTTAGCCTAATAGGTCTATGGTACAAAGTAAATTTTACTTTTCCATTGTTACAGCTTAGACAGAGATTTCACTGCCTGTAGTAAGTGTCATTTCACTTATTCTGGAGCTGTATTTTTTTTTTTTTTTGGAGCTGTATTTTTATTTTTTTTTATTTTTATTTTTTTATTTTTTGTCTTTTTTGTTTTTATCGGTACCAGGGATCGAACTCATGACTGCCTGCTTGCAAAGCAGGCGCTTATGCCACTGAGCTAAATCCCCAGCCCCTTGGAGCTGTATTTTTAAAGTTTGCTTTGTTCCTCATGGATATGTCTTAGATACAAAAAGTTACAATTGATATTTTACAAAGTCATCAAAAATAAGTTTAATTATATCCTTCAAATAATTAATAACCACTTACTGATATTATTAGAGATCATATTTTATAGACAAATAGTAGAAATGATTCATTTTTGTGTACTTCCTGATAAAGAATTATAATGACAATAGATAAAATAATGAAAAATACCATATTGACATGGTGCCAATAAAGCAGGATTAGTGGTAAATGTTCTAGAAAGTAGGTCTCCTGAATGTCATTCATGCCATTATAAAGCAAGTTACTTTCTGTTTAATGTTTCTATGGAGATTCGGTATGAAGAATACATTAAAAGCCAGCATTCTTGGTGTGGTGAATCTGGAGATGATTGTAAAATGATTTTAGCATTTGAATTTCTACTGCTTGTAATACTTCATCGACTGAATGCTCAGAAGCCTGGAAAATCTTTTCCAGGACAATCAGCTTCAGTTTAGCTTTATCGTATGGCAATTTTGTTAAATTTATTTTCTTTAAGTCAAGAAAATTAAAAAACAATTGCTTTGCTACAACACTTAAATTTTTAAAAACATTTATAGTTTTAGTATTGCTTTTAGCTATTTTAAATTATTGTGCTATGGTAGGACAAGTGGACATCCTAAATTCAGCCCAGCATGCACCAAGGAGCACGGTACTTCCTTTTGCCTAAGCTCTCCCTTGGCTCTCGCAACCACTGCTGCAGGGCACGGGGCTAATAGTAGTTCAGCCCCTGTGCACCATGAGAAAGGATCGCCAATTGTATGCTCAGCAGCTCCATTTGTTTAATATGTAAGAGGTTGCGCTCAGGGCTCAGCTATGCAAATGAATGTGTAGCACACACCAAGTGACAGAAAAGCAGCAACAGAACAATAGTGTGCTGATAATTTAGGGTTTTAGTATTTATAGGCTGGACACCTGCTTAGGGCCTCCCCGAATCTTGAGATGTGCTTGCCAGCTGGTGTTTCAGGCCTCCAGTGAGGGGGGAGTAGGGTAATGCTGACCAGAAGGTCAGGCTAGCAGGTCTAACACTGAATGTGCGCTCACCTCAGGCATCTGCATCTCCTAAGCTTCCTTATTCTACATTTTATCTCTCTTAGGATAATGGAGTCGGGAATAGCCACAGGGGATAGTGTAGAATGCCAGGGTGAGGGGGTGACCCATCCCCTCCTTTTCTAACTGAGCTACAATGGCCTGACCCAGTGGTTAAAGAGTCCTTGTGTTCATGCTTTCTTTCACGTTGCATATGTGGTTGTTCATCTCTGAATCTGTGCTGAGATTGCTCCTCACAATCAGTCCTAAATGTCTGAAAACATCACAGCATCATATGATTCCCATCTGGTAATGCCTCCATGGAGGACACTTTTGTAACATAGCTCTTCCTAGAACATGACTTAAGGGATAAAGAGTGACACACTCGTGAATATTCATTGCAAACAGCGGTAGCACCTTCCTATTGCTCCTGAAGAAGCCTGGAGAAGCCTAGGCAAAGTCCCCTCAGGCTTTGTAACCCAGGCAGGAGCACTTTCTTCCCCCACCCATTTCTTAGCAATCTCAGAGCCAGGGTACTACTCAGATCCACCCAGTGTTTTTGAAGGGGACTGCTGTGGCCCCTGGGTGCTGTGCTGGGTTCTTGGGGTAAAACGTGCATGAGCACCACATGGCACATGTAAGACAAGTCCCATTCCTGGCTGCCAGACACGAGGGCAGTAGGATAAGCTCAGACCTCACTGTGTACTGGCTCCAGGCTGCCCTGCCTAAGACCTCCAATTTCATCACAGGAAAATTGATGGAAGTCAATTTAATGCAGTAACTTTGAAAACCCAACAGGAATGTACAAGCTGTCTTGTAATTGCCTGCTTTCTCAGATAAATGAGACTTCCCTACTGGCTTCCAACTAATGAAATACCTTAAAAATAATATTCAAGATTGCCATGAAAAAACTGTGGTCTCTGAGGCAGGGACAACGACTGAGACCCACATTATAGACTGAGTTCTGCCTATAACTCACTGGCAACATTAGTAATAGAATCTCCAGGGCAGAGTCATGTGTAGCCAGAGAGGCTATGCCCTGGCAAGTGGAGGGAAGGTCCCAGTGAGCTCAGAGTGGTAGGGATGTGGGAGGTGAGTGTAAGTCTCAAGGTGAAAAATCATGAATGAGCTGATGCTGTCAAGGAAACTTCACCTGATATCATAGCTAGAGAAGTCAATCAACGTCCAGAGACAGTCAAGGTGCTACTTGAACATCAATCAACATGTACTGGACTTAGGGCAGCTTTCTGTGGCCTGACACAAACAGCATTTTCTGGCACACCTTGCACAGGACAAAGGCACATGTAGCTGGTTGCTTCCCAGTGGTGGTAGCCACACTTTTGTCAGCAAATGCCTCTTACACAGTTTGGTGGAGTGACAACTGGAGGTGAACTGGTGACATCCAGAAAAATTGCATCAGTGTGGTGCTGTGTGTGCAGGGGCCCTCCTGAGCACCGCCCACAACATACCCAGAAGAATAGAAGAGGAAGAGCTGGTTCTGTGACTTCTACTGGAGGAGCTGTCCTGCTGGCTTTCTGCTCTGAACCTGGTTCTTATCATCTGAGGAGCTCAGGGCCTTATTATTGGAAATGGTTATGCTCATTTGGGGGAGATGCTTAATCTGCAGGGGAACCTGGCATGCTGTTGAATCTCCTGGAGAAGCTTACTGTACCGGCTTTCCTGATGTGAACTCTCTTCTCTCTCTCTCTTTTCTCCAAATACATTTTATTTCAAGAAGAAAAAGAAAAAAGAAGAACAAGGAAAAAAATTACGACAAAATTACAAAACACATTAATCAGGGGCAACAATGGTACCTATATTATGCATTTTAATCTCCTAATCATTCACCCAAAACACAAGACATTTGCACTCAATAGTCCAAACAATACAGGAACAAATCTTCCTCTTCAGTGAACTCACAGAAACGAATAGGATAAATTCTTAACTATTATTATAAACATAGACATAGACATAGACTTATGTTTTTTCTTTCAGCTTCTCACATTAATGAGAAAATATGATGTTTTTATCCATTCCTCAGTCGATGGACATTTATGTCATTTTCAAGATCTGGCTCCCTACAAAATCTGCTTCTAGAATCTTGGGTCACATATATCACTGGGGTTTGGTGTTTTTTATTTCTTTTGGTGAGATATCCAAAAGGTGAATGGCTGGGTCAAATGGGACCTGTAGTCCTACTTTTTCCAAGGTTTCTCCACACTGATTTCCCCCGAGGTTGCACAGTCTGCGTTCGCACGACAGTGGAGAAGGGCTCCTTTTTCCCGCAGCACCTCCAGCATTAGTTATTATTTGAT